TAGACTCCTTCAATTTCATCATCACTAGATTTAGTGGTTGGTGCATAAGTTTGAATCATAGTGGTATTAACTGGTTGTCCTTGTAGATTTATGGATATGGGTATTACCCTATTATAGACAGCATTGTACTTCTAGATAGGTCTTGAATTCTTCTTTTCTATGATGAATGTGATGCCATTCCTCTTTGGTTTATTGTTTCTGACATAGTAAATTATATTATTTCCATTTAAAATGACCAGTAACAGTTAATTTCAGTTCATTAATACCTAGGATATCAATATTTATGTGTTTCATTTCATTTTTGATGACTTCCAATTTTCCTTGATTTATACTTCATACATTCCATGTTCTGATTATTGATGGATGTTTGCAGTTGTTTTTTCTCATTTTGAGTTGTGCCCCATCAACAAATGAACGTCCTGAGAGCTTTGCTCTACCTGTATCATTAAAGTCAACTCTACTTTGAGGAGGTATCTCTTCCCCAGACATATTTTGAGGGCTTTCTAACCTGAGGGGCTGTCTGCTGGCACTATATCTGACAATGTTCTGATGCTCTTCACAAGGTTTTCAGGGACTAACGTTTTAGAAGTGATCCATTTTCCCTTTCTTTCTACTCTGTCCTAGTCTGGATGCTTTACTGATACCTCTTCACCTTGGGTGACCCTTCTGATGTTTAAAATACCAGTGGCACAGTTTTCAGCATCAAAGTAATATACATGGCACCATAGTATGACAAAATGATAGATGCATGGTGGAAAATTCCTTGAACATCCCATAAAACTTTTGCCTTGACCTTTGCTCTTGACCTGTCTGTTTTTGTTTTGATTGGACCACTTTCGCCTCTTGGTATAGTTATTGTTTTGATTGTGTTTTATCTTCATGTTGTTGTTGTTGTTGATGTTGTTGTCATGTGCCGTGGAGTCTGTTCCGACTCATAGCGACCCTATACAGGGTTTCCGAGGCTATAAATCTTTACGGGATCAGAAAGCCTCAACTTTCTCCCATGGAACAGCTGGTAGTTTCGAACTGCTGACCTTGCGGTTCGCAGCCCAATTCATAACCACTATGCTACCAGAGTTCCTTCATGGTAGTACTGTTTAAACAACGCTTCATCTGTTACAGTTCTTTCAAGAAATGCTTCAGGATATTGATCCAACTTTTTAAAAATTTTCATTGAAAGCTCTGTTCTTGTCTGCCGCTGATCTGGGTATAACTATTTTGATACCCATCAAACAGAAAGTTTGCTCAATTTTAATTTTGCAGTCAGAACTGTGTGAGTAGAATCAATTGAGCTGTCCATGATGTTGATTGTTGTTTTTACTGTTAATTGTCAATCCTCTTCAAGTAGGGAATGAACAAAGCCATTTTTTCCTTGCAAATTGATGTGGATGGTCTGCCACTGTTGGCTTCATCGTCAACATCATCTTGTCCCTTCTTAAATCAAGTGATCCATTTGCAAATTGCTATTTACTTTGAGGTCATTGTCCCCATAAACTTTTTGTAAAGCATCAGTATCAAGTTATCTATTTGCAATTGCTATTTTCTTTGGGGTCATTGTCCCCATAAACTTTTTGGAAAGCATCAGTATTTTTACAATTCTCCCAATCAAAATTCACCATACATTTGATATTTTTGCTTTTGTTTCAGTTTTAACATAATTCCTGTTGCTCTGATAGAAGCTCTTTTCCAAACTGATGTCTTATCCTTCTCACTGTCTCAAACTAGATCCTGTTCAGACATGTTATTAAAAATTAGTATGAGTTTATTTTGGAGCAAAAAAAAAAAAAAAATTGACATCCATGTATAGTTTCTTCCCATAATACCCATTTTCCATGAATTTATAGAACTTTTGTTGTTAAATGCCATGGAGTTAGTTTTGACTCATAGCAACCCTGTGAAGCTTTTAAATCTTTTGTGGGAGCAGTTACCCTTATTTTACCCCTGCAGATTATCTGGTGGGCTCGAACTGCCGATCTTATGGTTCATAATGCAATGCTTATTCTATGGAACCTCCAAGAACTTTGTTGTTGTTGTTGTTAAGTGCTGTCAAGTTGATTCCGACCCATAGTGACCCTGGATAGGGTTTCCGAGGAGCAGCTGGTGAGCTTGCACTGCTGACCTTGCAGTTCAAATGGCTTTGCAGTCTGGCGCATCAACCCACAGTGCCACACCAGGACCCCACAATAGAACTTTGGGACTATATAAATACCCATTGGACGTCAGACTTTTCCTACTGGCTTTAGCATCCCTCTTTCCACTGTGAAGTGGCATTTCACGTGTGTTGTTTGTTCTTCCTCTCCAGTTGTGATCATGTGTGCAAGCAGTGACACCATCCGGAGCATCATGCTGGCAGCGCACAGGCACGGCATGACAAGCGGAGACTATGCCTTCTTCAACATCGAGCTCTTCAACAGTTCTTCTTATGGTAACTCTGGTTCCAGTCCCTACCCCTGCCCCCAGCTAAGATGTCCAAGAGGGATTGTGAGGAAGATTCATTAATTTGGGTTACATAGATAGAGCTGATTTCCATAAATTAGATTTTAGAAATTTGTGATTCAGAGCACTCCCATAATGTCTCATAATTTCTCATTCTGTCTTCTTCTGAGAATTAAAGTAGCATAAAAAGACATAGTGTTTCAGCGATGTCAAGAGATAGGACTGGAGGTGAGTAGAGTCAAGCACTCACCTCATAAATCTAGATTTAAAAACCCCATGCTTCCATAATGGACTGCTGGAATATTTTTATTGAGATTTGGGCAGTATTTAAAAAAAAAAAAGTAGAATGAAATATACAAGAACATATTTATGTCACAGAATAGTTCATGTCAAAGTGTGTCATAGGTACCATATGTGTTAATTCAGAAATTTTTAATGAAATGAATATAATTACACATTTCATACATGTATGTGTATGGGTACATATGTGTGGAATGAATTGCAATGTATAAGAAGTTTCTTACTCTTAAGTTGAGGTAAAAAATGTTGAAAGCTACTGCTCACAGTTTCCCTTCCATCCATATTTTACTACCAAGGAACTGATTCCATACTCCATAGTTTTCAATGGCTGATAATTCAGAAGTGGTCACCAGATCTTTCTTCCGAGATGTCTGTGGATGGATTTGAACATCTAGCCTTTCAATTAGCAACACAGAACATTAATTATTAGCACTACCCAGGGACTTCTGTCACCGTGATTAAGAAAAACCAAACCAATTGCCAGTGAGTCAAGTTGATTCTGACTCATGGTGATCTTGTGTGCTTCAGCGTACAACTGAGCTCCATAGAGTTTTCAGTGGCTGTAATCTTTTCAGAAGCAGATCACCAGACCTTTCTTTTGATGCACCTCCAGATGACCAAAACCCATCAACCTTTCAGTTCAACAGTTTGTGCCTCCCAGGGATTTCCTTCACCAAGATTCTTGTTGTTTTATGCCGTCAAGTCATCACTTCCCCTTTCCTATATAGAGGTTCAGGAGCTAACAACATGTAGGATTGGAAATACTGTTTAAAATTCTTTTAAATGGGTTTTGAGAAGTTCTGTGGGTTCCTGTGATGGAAGATGTTTATGAAGATCATTAAGATCAAAGGTTCAAAACATTGTCTGCCACAATGTCATTAGAGCTGTCTCTGAAGTAGACACTGTAAGACTATGGAACATCTCCTCAAATACTCAACGTTGACTTCTGAAACCTGAGTAGGTCTAGGGGAACTTGAGTGAGTGTGCATCCATAGGGTTTTCATGGATTGAGGAAAATCCCCCATGAGATGGATTGACACAGTAGCCACAATAATGGATTCAAATATATCAGTGAAGATGAGAGCAGTGTAGAACTGGGTAATATTTTGTTCTGTTTTCTTATGTGGTAGCAATGAGTCTGCATCTACTCAACAGAAACTAACAACACGAGTTTGCATATTACAAATGGCATTCTTATACTGAGCTCCACTTCCCAAATCTAAATGGACAAGATATAGTTAGGATATACAAATGATAGCATACACCCAGTGTCCTTTCCCGACATCTTGTCTTATTTAAGCATTAGATCATTAGACCTAAATGGAAAATAAAATCCAGTTCTCATGGAGCTAAAGAGACACTCATGAAACAAAACAGCTAGTGCTTCCAGGAGCAGATCAAATTACAGATTTTTGGACTAATTGGATAACATTAACATCAGCCTCCAAGACCCTGAGACCAGAAAATCTTGATGGCAGCTGGGTACCACTGAAAAGGATTGCTCTGAAATGGATCACATTAGAAGGTGCTGAATACAGTGAAAGGAAAATGTGGAATAAAATAGAAAATTGTTAAAAAACAAAAAACAAAAAACAAAAACAAAAAAAGACTGGGCTTATTGGACAGAAACTGGTGGCTCAGTTTTCAGCCAAACAATAGAAAGGTAAGGGAAACTTTAGTAATGATAACCCTCATTTCATGTCTTCTGAATCTGGCAGGCCCTTGTTGATGTACTGCTGCAGCCATTTTTGAATTATCTTCAGCAAAATTTTACTTACCTGTGATATTAATGATATCATTCGATGATTTCAGCATTCTGATGGGTAACTTTTCTTTGGAATGGGCACAGATATGATCTTTTCTCATTGGTTTGCTATAAAGCAGCAGTTAAGAAATCAAGCTACATATTACACTAGGCAAATCTGCTTCAAAACACCTCTTTAAAGTGTTAAAGAGCAAAGATGTCAGTTTGAGGACTAAGGTGTGCCTGACCTAAGTCAAACTATTTCCAATTGTTGCATATGCATGTGAAAGTTGGACAATGAATAAGGAAGACTGAAGAAGAATTGATACATTTGAATTAAAATATTGGCAAAGAATCTTAAGATTAAGTCAGAGAAACAAATGTCTTGGAAGATGTACAGCCAGAATGTTTGTTAGAATTGAATATGGTGAGGCTTCATCTCTTGTTCTTTGGATATGTTGCCAGTAGGGAATCAGTTCTTGGAGAAGAACATCATGCTTGGAAAAATTCAGGGTCAGTGAAAAAGAGGAAAGCCCATGAAAAGATGGGTTGATACAGTAGCAGCAACAATGGACTCAAAGAAAACAACAATTTGAGGACGGTATACAGTGTTTCATTCTTTTGTATGGATGCAACACAGTTACTGTGAGTTGGAACCCACTCAGTGGCACCTAATAACAAGAAGATACCAGGAACAGTAACAGTAAGGAGTTACTCACACCTTAGAATAATCAATAATTTGAGATTGAAAAAGGCAGCATGTACCTAAGGACAAGTTCAGAAGGGTTAGGAAAGAAAGAATGGAAATGGGAAACAGCGAGGAAATAGGATAAGTGATGTTACACCTTGGGGATTGGAGTTAATGACATGAACCAAATATGTGTGAATTGTTGAATGGAAAACATATTTGCTCTGTAAAACTTCACCCAGTTCACAATAAACAGTGAAAAAAAAAAGTGGTAATTTGAGGCTTGCAGGATAAACATTCTATTTTGTTCTCATTGTTGTCTAGTGCCATGAGTCGGTTTGACTCATAATGACCCTGTATAGAGTTTCCAAGGAGCAGCTGGTAAGTTTGAACTGCCCGCCTTGCAGTTAGCAATCTAATACTTAACCCTTGCTACCTCAATATCCATCCCTTTTCCACTTCTTTATACAATCAAGGACCCCTGGGTTTGGGGGGACACCTGTAGTTAAAGTTCTCAGCTGCTAACTCAAAGATTGCTGGTTTTAATGCACCAACCTACTTTGTGGGAGAAATATGAGCAATCTGCTTCTGTAAGATTTACTGTCTTGGAAACCCTATGGGGCAGTTCTATTCTGTCCTATAGGGTCACTATGTGTCAGAATGATTTTGGTTTTACACAATCAGAACAGTAGTTTCACTTTTTGACCCAAGATCAAGAACTCAGTAATGACTAAAGTACTCAGTTCATTGATATAGTGGTAAAAACTGGTGAAAAAACAAACAAAATCCCAAACATTTATTCTGCGATTTTCAAGTTGGTAACTGAAATATTGAGTTTTTTAGGCAGTGCACTTGAATATGCATTAATGAGCAAGTGTGATACAGATGTTAGGTGCTGGAATTCCTTTCAACCACAGTGGTAAAGTGTGCCTCACTTTCCTCTGGGAATTGCAATTCACAAGTACTGCAGATAATTTGGGAAACAGAAAAACAAAGTAAAGAAAATAAGTGATTATAATTATGCAGCCCAGAATAAAAATACATTGATAATTTTTGGAAGTATGTATATTCTACTTATTTTATAAAACTATACATTCTACAAAAAATATTTTTCAATGAATCACACTATTTCTATTGTTATGTAGCCTGATTGTTACCAAATATATCTGGAATACTTTCTTATGCCGTTTTATATTCTTCTACAACTTGATTTCCAGCAGCTGCATAATATTTTATGATGCTGATATTCCATTTTAATCACATTCCTTTTATGTATACCAATTTTTCTATATTTTTGTTGGCCCCATCTCTTTGCTATTAAGAACAGTGCTGTGCTGATTAACCTTATTCACATGCACATATATTATGTATAATAAAACTTTCTAGAAGTAGGCTTTCTCTGTCAAAGGTTATATGCATTTAAGGCTTTGATAAATATTGCCAAGTTGACCTCTAGTGAGATTGTACCAATATATACTTGTACAAAATGTACTGGATTTCCTGTTTTTCTACATCTTTGACAGCTCTGCACTGCCTTTATAATTGTTTTATTTATTTGAATAAGTAACACTTATTTATTCAAATAAGGAGCTCTGGTAGCATAGTGGTTACAAATCAGGCTGTGAACCTCAGGGACAGCAGTTCAAAATTACCAGCTGTTCCACGGGAGAAAGATGAGGCTTTCTGCTCCCGTAAAGATTTACAGCCTTGGAAACCCTGTACAGGGTCGCTATGAGTTGGAACCAACTTCACAGCACATAACAACAACAACATTTATTCAAATAAATACTATTTGAATAATATTTGGTGAGGTGCCGCACAAGACTGACCTGGTTATCTGCTTCCAAAAAAAGGGTCACGGCCTTGAAAAGCCTGTGGAGTGCGGCCCTATACTGTAAACATGGGGTCACCAGGCGTTGGAATCCATTTGGCATCAACTAACAACAGTGCACTGGGCCACAAAGTCGGTTTGAACCGCAGCATCGGCAGTTCAAACTCACCACCCGCTCCTCAGAAACTCTGTGCAGGGTCGCTATGAGTTGGAACCAACTCGATGGCACTTAACAACAACAACAACAACAACAACAACAACAACAACAACAACAAAATAACCATTCTTGTTGGATTAAAATATATGAGTCATCATGAAGATGATCAGGACTGGGCAACATGTTCTGTTCTATATAAGGTTGCCGTGATTTGGCGTCTGCTCAGTGGTAACTAACAATAATCCTCCTTGTTGAGTTCATTTTTAGAT